AGCAGTATGACAGTTCAGTGCATTGTGGTCTCATATTCTCATTTTTTATCTCTCCTATGGTACTCTCTCTGTTCACTTTCGTTCAATATTAAGTGTGCACGCTTGGTGAACGGTGGCAAGGAACGTCGTGAAATAGATTTATATTATTGATTCGTGTTTAGTTTGTTGTATGAGAATATAAAAGGTTACTCTAAAGTGTATCGTGCCTAAAATATCGATATATTGGACGAATATGTTATCAGTTTCCCGGAGATGAGAATTTTATTTCATTTCATTAGAATTTCATTTGAAAACAAACATGTTTTGTCCGGACTACTGGATATAGTCTTAAAACACTTATTTGTGGTATGCATTTCGACCTCATAAAATATTGTAATTTTAAAAAATTTTATAGTCCGTATACTTTGGAAATTTGTGAACGCTTCAGATATAGTTGGCTAGTTTGTATAGTTGGATAGAATTCGGTAATACTACATAAAATTTGAGAAGTGATCAAAATGAATCTATCTGACTGATTTTGAGAGTGATGCGAATCTATCGATGGTATTTTGAATTTTAAAAGAATATTAATTGTTGTATGACACATTTAAAAGAGATCACCTTGGCTCGTTGAATAGCCTCATAAAGATTAGCGCCGTTGATATCCCATCCATCGATGACCAGTTCGTTGGGATCAACCATTGGCAGAAGTTTGTTGAACGGTACGTAAACCTGCTTCTGACCATCCCATCCGATATGTACAGTAGTCGCTTGTGTTAGTGACCCATAATAGTTGGCTTTCTGTTCGCCTTGTCTGAAACTTGATTTGTTGTTGATTTTTATAGCAATTGTTGTAATGATCTTAGTAATAATAATACTGATTGATGGTTCACATTTGTTGCTGAATGGTGAACTTGTCTTCAGATTGTCTTTTACTAGTTTTAAGAAATGATATCAAGAAAGGAAATTCTTAACAACAATAATAATTGTGCAATATTTTGAGTTGCAATAATCTTAACTTCAGTATTACTTTTACATAGTTATAATGTATTGAAGGTTGTTAAGAATTCCATTTCTTGACACTAGTGGGTTGGTTTATTTGCGTGAACTGATTTTAGTGACTGAATTTGGTTGGGATGATAAGGATGTTATGAGAGATAAGGGGGATGATAGTATTATAAAGGATAGTAGTGTTCATGATGAGTGGGATAATCCGATTCAACTTTATTCTCTAGAAATGTTTATCGATTTCATTGATTTCCTCTGAAATGATTGTTGAAGTCAAATTTTATCGTTCCGCATTCGCTATTAGCGGATAGGTAAAAAATTGGGTTTGATAAAATTAAAGCTGAAAAAGTAATGTATTGTTGATGAGATCGTATTTATTTGTGTGTCTGTGTCTATTGTACTGTTGATGAAGTATTTATTTGTTTGTTGTGTGTTGTCGAGTAATTTTTTTGTTGTATTAAGTTGTTGTTGTTGTTGATATTGTGCTGATTGATTGATTGATTGATTGATAACTAATGAAATGATGAATTCGTGTATCTGATAGATATTATGAGATATTTATACATATTCGTTGATATCAATCATTTTGTGATTGTTATAGATAATTGATGGAGTATTCATGAGCCATCATGTCGTTCAGTTTTGTGATCTCTTATTCTCGAATGTATTGTCCCGGTTCGTTGTCTGATGCGGCGAAATTGTTGTTTGTATGTGATTCGTCAAAGTTCCAGGATTAGAGGCATTCTCTCTAAGAGCGATCGTTGGAAATTTTGCTATGGGATTTTTGATATCCTCCCAATGTTTTGGTTAGCCAAGTGTGATACTTTGAGCAGTTCTGTGTTTTTTGTTTGAAACCTATGAGAATGAAGTCGATGGATTTGAAAATCTGGTCGAATATAGGTGAATATTTGGGAAGTGTGGAATGGGCTCGAAGAAATGGCTACGATTAGTCGGTGATTATCGCGAGATATAAGTTGTTGTTTTTGAATTGAATGGAATTTCTGGACTGAGCAAAATCGTATCGAATCCGAGAGAAAGGCATTTGATTGCGTCGAATATTGTTGGGATGAGACAAAGAATTTGAGATGTGCTTGATATTATTATTATCATTATTATTATTCTATAAATGAATGAATACTGTTGGTTGAATTGATTTAATATTGAATTTATGATGTGACTAAAAAAGAAAACGAGACTTCACAATAAATGATATCCTGTTGAATCGCTCAAGTTGTTTTCGATTTTTATTTCATTTTTAAACAATTCACGCATGTTTCTTTGTGCTGGCAATGCTTATTTGTTTGCTCAATACAGTTTATAGTTTTTCCATTGGGTTTATCGGTGATCGATCTCTAAAGTGATTATCTAGATCAAACTGATTTTTTGCTCACAATCCACAAAATGCATCAAATCATTTGAGATCTAAAAAGCTACAGACTGAAAGTGGTTGATCTTTATGGGAGGAATGAATTTCTATCACATGCAAACACTTAAAATGAATGATTAGTTTCTATGTGAGCGATTTTTAGAATGGTCATTAGGTGATCACTGTGCGATTCGGTAAGATGTTCGGTAGTGCAGTGAAATGATTGTTCAGTTTTTTCAAATTTTGTTAAACCGGTTATGATTACCTGTAAAATTCGTTGATATTTTTGCAGTGTAGCTTAAGATCGCGTATTGAAGAAGTGTTTTACAGAGCTATCGATAAAATATTGTCGAATGCTATCACCAAGCAAAGTAAAACGAGAAATTTTCTCGTCTGATGATGATGGAGACAGCGAAAATGAGGAGAATAAAGAAGATGCACAGCAGAACGATGTGGATGAGGATGATAAAATAGAATTATTAGAATTTGAAAGGAACATCATGTTGGATACACTAACCGACGATGTGTTGTTCATCTTAGCAAGGTTTATGTTTGCAAGAATTTGTCAACTATCAAAGCTGATCAGTCTATCATTTTGATCAGATAACATGATTTTACAGTAATGATATGAACATAATCCTTCTGAATAGCTCGCAATTGTCGATGTTGTTCTGAACAAGATTTGTTGTTTCAGAGGACTAGGTCTAGAACGTTTGATGTTGCACCATCTAAGCTTGTATTCGGACCCGAAATTATTGGTTTTCGTTATAAATACAACTCAACATGATGAGGTTAGTTGACGATGCTAATCGAATTTTCTAGTTTTATTATTAAAGTTCATGCGATTGCATTCATTCATTTCAGTGCATATTTCTTGATATTCTTTAAGTCTTCCAGTAGTACCCTCTTTATAATGCGCATGGTGAAGATGATTGCTGACAGTAAGATCAATAAGGGAAAAGTCTAACCTATTCGGTATCTGTGCACTGATCCTGCAAATTGCTCATAAAGATTTGAAACGATCAGGGGAGATGGCCTTATAATTTGAATTTTATGAATTGAATTGAATTGGGTTTCTGAATTATTTGATAATCGTTGAGCAGCATGCTTTGGCAAAATTAGTCAGCTAGTCGGGAAAAATCGCTTGGTAAACTGGCTTTAAATAGTGACATTTTTGACGATCGCTTTCTGATGCTGGAAATTTCAGGCTTATTTTCTATCAAAATTACAAAATACTAAATTGAAATGTGCACCGAAAGTGATAAACGCTGACGTTTCAATGAAAGACAGGTTAATTTGTGTTGATTATTTGTGAGGAATGGATGGAGACTGTTTTGAAGCATCTCAATTTCAACAAATACTATGCATTGTTCGTTGTTTTCATCATACAGAGGTGTAGTGTGTAAAATTTTCAGCGCATCCGAATTCAGAGAAACATTGTACATGGAAGGAGGTGTTCACTTCATAACGTCGAGAATTTTAATGGTTGATTTGCTACAAGAACGNGTGCCCTTGAAAAATCTGGCCGGTATCCTTGTCTATAGGGCTCATCAGTAAGTGTGAACATAATATCTTTATTATCACTGGTATTACCTGGATTGGCCAGGCTGTCATCAAACGTTTGTAACGTTGCTGGCCACAATGCTCGCCTTTCCGTGCACATTGTTTTAGCCTCAATTTTCGCCATCCCGCTGGCTAGGCGAGCAGGCCAACTGAACACAACCGAGTAATTAATTAGTTGTCGTGAATACTTTGCAAAACGAATCGTAGCCAAATGTCAAACCAATAAATAATCATAACCCTAATAAAATGAATATTCCGTTGATCGCTCACAGCGATTGACAAAACAACCACTCGATGTCCAAGTAGCAATAGTAATCACTGCTATTATCACTTCGTTTTGTTCGAATTGTTTATTGTAGTGCAAATTCAGTTGGTTTTGTAATCGTTCATTTCAGATTGTTGTCCAACTTTCAAGAGTCATTCATTTTACGATTGTATCGATAAAAGAAATCCGATGGATTTGTGAAAGCGTTCACGTAAGGATAAGGACTTTTTGCTTGCCTATTGTTTGAATATCTTTCTTTAAAACTGAGTTTAGCAGAAAGAATTTGCTTGCGATTGAGTTCAATATCCATTGAAGTTTGAATTGAAGTTGAGTGGGTGTGGAAATTTCAAAGTTTTAGAAATATATTTTCAGTGATTATCCAACTGCACTGAATTCAATTGGATGCCTACAACGTCTAGTGAATCGGCTGTACGTAAGACGGGTTCGACTGGTGCCTCGATTCGATGTTGATGTGAAACGTATTCTTGATATCTACCCGGTTAGTTCATATTCTTAGAATTTTTTTCGTGAAAAAAAATTTCTTTTGTACTTATGAAATTTAATTTCAGCATTGAACCCTATAAATTCATGAACGTTTATGATGACTTTTTCTTTGTTCATATTTTGCATGATTTTTGAATATATCCTGCAGGAAATTACTCCGAAATTCTGGAAAAAAATGAAATGAATGAATTTATAAATGATCCGCTAACAGTTAGAGACGCTTCGCCAAAACTAGTCAAAGGAGCAGAGGAAATCGCTTGATGAACAATTTTCAAAGTGCTAATAAACCTTCGATTAACTGTATGAATGATGGAAATATCTTGGATATTTTCCATCTTCTTCATTTTCAACTGAGAAATTTCATTGAGTGTGATGCGAAATTGTGAGAATTTCAGCCGAAATTAATCGAAGTAAATTGTGAGTTACCATACCCAATGCGTAAAGTGCAGTCGTCACTTGTCGACATCATCAGGACTTGTCTGAAGGANTGATGTATCGATGGATTTGGAATGAAAAAATGATAGTCATGATTCAGTAATTTAGTCAATTTAAGAGTCATTAGACTATCAAAACTCTAAACTAACTTCCTACTCGCACGATCGGCAATTACTACTAAGAGTACTTCTAGTAAAAATGCCTAATACGTCTTTCATTTACGTTTAAGTGGATAAATGAATCAATGTTGCTTTTGTAGTAGTCCATGGAAATGTCTTTGAACAAGCACAGTCGTCTCTTTATAACTCACATTTTGCTTGGACTGATTATGCAGGATTGAATTATTGCATTGCAATTGTAACTCTTGAACTGATGATGAAGTATTTGGATCAAGTTTTTACATCTTGGCTAGTATCATTATAAACCGTAGAATGATGTCCAGCAAGACTTTTAAACAGATTGAAGTACTGAACGATAAGAAGTTATGTATTTTTGTTGTGTTATGAACGCATATTTATATAGATGAGAAGATTGTTTTGTTTTGACATTGGCATATTAAAGGGATCTGGAAATGATGACGACGATGACATAACAAATCCATCATCTGCTTTAACTGTATCAATGCTGGAAGTGCAACTGAAAATGGAGCAGTTTTCAGCAACCGATAAACAGCAACGTCTTGCCACTGATTTGAAACATTTGCGGAGTCTTCTTCATTATGTTCGTTCATTTCATTCGTCTTGAGAATGTAATGTTTTGCATTGATTATCTCTATTGTTGTGATCGGACAGTGACTCAGGTTTAATGCTATGAGAAGAATTTTTGTAATCTTTTAAGAGTTTCTCGAGTTGGGTGGTTTATCAGTTCGGAGTTTCAGGCTGAAGAGCATGACCCAGCAACGTTGTATCATGCATTAGTGATGCTGCGTACAGACAAGCAGGTTAGTGCGGTGGAACACTTGTGTTGATAATTATGATAATGTTGTTTGATAATAATGATAAGTGATATTGGTATCTAATTTTCTGTTATTAACCGTTTGAACGGTGATAAGGATACCTTGCGATTACCTTGCGACCTGTCAATGATAAGGATAACTGATAATGATAACAGTGAATGATTTTTTTTGTAGGAGGTGATGAGGAATAGCGGATGGCTATTCACACCAACTTCATCGAAGTTGTTCCTTGAGGCTGAGAAAATGTGTAAAGTGAAAAAAGATAATCAGTTCACATTGCTTGGTAAGGCTGTTTTGTGTTGCGATTGCTGCATTTTCGTGAATTTTTTTTTGGAAACTTTAGAAGAACATTTTGGATTGTAGTACTTTATTTCAGATTTTAGACTGACATTTTTAGTTTTAGAAGTTTAAAAAGAAATCAAAACACTTTTCGTATTCATTAAGTGATTTATGCGATTTTATTTTAGAACCACCAAAATGGACAGCATTAGAGAATGTCCTTCAAGAAATACGAAATAATGGCAAAAATTCTCAACANTGATTGCGTTGTTTTATGAGTAGTTGTGTTCTTTTTGAGGCCATTGAGACTATGCTTAGGTATGTTACTGTCCAATTGTTAGTTCAGAACTAAGCAAAGTATAACCTCAATAGTAGATCTGATACTTTTGCACGAATATTCAGATGAATTTGATAATAATATGAAAACATTTGGAGTTTTTTTTTCTCGTGTTCAGGTAAAACACCAATACTGGTGTTGACGGAAAGTTACGAAGTAAGTCGCCAATTACGCGATCTGATCAAATGGGGTCGAAAGAAGTTCGCATGGGTTCAGAGGTGTCAAATAGCCGAGGATTTACCGTCAGCTAAAGGTGCCGCAAAAGAGCCACAGTCTGCACCATTATGGGATCCTACCCAGATCACATTATTTGTATCTACACAAGAGGTGCATTTTTTTATTCATCGAGTTCTTTCTGATGTCTGTACATTGTCCGAGCGGTATTCGTATTGATCAAATAGGTGTTTCGTACGGTACTCGGTCAATCTGCCTAAAGACATTTAGCCTAACGACAGTTTGCCTATTAGGCGACAAATCCACTAAAAAACCTCAAGTCAGGCAAACTGTCCGTTAGGCAGTGCGTCTTTAGATAAAATGTCGTTATGCTAAATTTCTTTAGGCAGATTGTTCAGTCACGGTTCCATACGGCATATGAACTAGTTTTGAGTTGATTGTTCCAAATTGAGCTGTTGAAAATGAAAATGAATACGAGTGAATATGAATATGTTTCGAGCAGTTTGCTGCGAATGTTCAGATCTGTTTGATAAGCGATTATTTGAAATTAGGAAAGTTATTTAGGGTGGGGGTCGAGCGGAAATTGTCGGTGATGTTCAGGCCGTACAAAAAGTGGCGGCTAGACAAGGTCGAAAA